ACACACACACACACACACACACACACACACACACACACACACACACAGAGACAGCATCTCACCTGAGCCACCTCTTCAAAGTCATCGTGCCTCTTCTGCAGGGCCCGGGCTCGATGTAGGGACTTTCCAACTCCAGTGTGTTTGCTGAGAAAGGCCTCACCATGGTTTTCAATCCAGTCCAACACCTGGTCAAAGAAGGATAACAGCAACTATGACTTCCTAGCAGAAGGAAAGACACGTGACAACATGTGCAACTGCTAGAGTCCTAACCACCCCCACATCCCATCCCATTGTAAAGCAGCAGTTCAGGTGGAAATGGTCAATCTTCTGTGAGTCCATGGGATTTCATTACTGTCACTGGCAATATTACAGTCCCACCCTTAACTAAATTCAACTTATCCTTTTTGATCTCCATATTATCCGTCCATTACTTTTTCCATTTTCTTAGTTCATTATTTTAAACAAGCTACACACCAGGCACAGTTTAACCCCCTCACCACTTCTACCCAATCACATAAAGATATTGGCAGGAAATTAGATAGTAGCAGTTTGGGCAGTATCTTGGCCCTCATTACTCATCGGTCACTCTGCCATAAGAATGCAAACAGCAATGGCAACCAGTCATGGGGATCCTGCCTCATTGTGCTCCTGGGACGCCCCTTCCTAATCTTGAAAGCAAAGTCCAGGGTAGTCAGTCCCCAGTTGGATGCTCATGATATCTGAACACTAGGACAACAGCCCCCTCTGGCTTCTTTCCATCTCCCTCCTCCAATCGATACCAACTAACCAAACAAACAAATGTATAAATTAAAGTATTTGCATCCTAAGTCCTTTAGTATCTGCGTCTCTTGGGAAGTAGTGGAGACTTTATGTTCTTCCAGGCTAAAGATCTAGTGATTTGGCTTCAATACAGTTTCCTTGGTATTTAGAAACACTGGAACAGAGAAGCCTGGGCAATAGAGGGATGAGAGAGACGGGAAGCTAAGAAGGGTGGAAAAGAAGTTTTCCTGAGGGGCACTTGAGAGGCAGGATGGAAATCCCTTAGTAAAAGCCTTGACGTGCAGGGAGGATCAAAGCCTTTTATACCCATTTTGCATTCTTGCAGATGGCCTAACAAAAATGCGTGCATCCCAGAGATCATCTTTTGATCTCTGACAAGTTGGCGCTCAGTAAATCAGGTGACCACAATTAAATCAGAATTACAGTATAGACACACCTGTTACAGATCCTGCTAAAACTCCTGTGAGTCCACTCACTGCCTGCAATATTAACCATGAACTAAACATTTGATTAATGATGTACTAGCCTTTCCAGATTTTGGAAGAACTTATTGGAAAATGACTTAGATGAACTAGGTCTATTTAAAAAGATGGTTTAACTCATTCCTGTGTCTCAGACGGATTGCCCTGTAGCAAACAGAGGTAGAACCAAATCATTCCATAGACTATAGGCATGGGAGTTCTCTGACATTTGGGATATTTTAATATCTGCAGTGTGCAAAGTGTGAACATTTTCAAAGTCTTTGGTGACAGGATCACAAAGCCCACATTATAATTGTGCTAGTTCAGAGAAAGGTACATATGAATATAAAAATGAGGCTTAACAAATATCCACTTAATGAAGACAGATGGAGTAATTGTCCATCATCATGAAGAAAAGAAGTTTTTTGTAAATAAAAAATGAATTCATCTAAACATTATCTATGGATATTTTAAACACTTTATAATATATTCTGGCAATATACATATTTTAAGTATTCTGCAGGCACAGCCCTAAAAAGAAATTGTGGTAGTGCTGGATTTTTACCTTTTGCAAACACTGAAAGGTAGCACTGAAAGGAACTTTACGTGTTCCTCTCTTAGAAGAGCCTACGTTTCTCTAGAATTACTTACGGTGAAACTTCAACCAAAAAAATCAGGAGAGTGTATTTTTACTTGGCTTGCCACAGTTAGATCTCACAATTCTGTACTGTCACGGGATTTATGAGCTTCAGCATGCAAGGTCAAAGGCAAATACTTTGTAGTCACAAAGTTTCCCATATATTAGGTGCCAAGTATAGTAAAGTTTTAGGATTTTAAGGCATAAACTTTCATCAATCCCTTCTGAAAACAAATTGAGGTTTGAAGATAATTTTTTGCATATTAAAGAACTACCAGTGGTCGTTTATGAATGTGTTGAAATTTATAACAGATTTTTGAGACCACAATTTTTTAAATTTAGTTTTGAGCACTTAAGTAGGAATTGCTTGTCTCGCAGTGTTTTCATGAGTTTTGTTTTATTTCATTTTTTATCTCTAGTTTTAAGAAAATTGGTTATTCTGAAGTAAATTGGTTGAAGAGGAATATTTTTCATCTACTAGTTCACCCACATACAGCGTCTGCACTCCCCAGAAACGATTTTACAACTTTTAAATATTTTTTAAAAGGCAATTTGTTTCCTTTTTCAGTACTTTGCTTTCTTTAAAATGTCAATTTATTTTTAGTTAGTGACACTTAGTTTTACTTAATTGGTTATGCCTTCATCACTTAAAAACCTATTTCTTTCATATTTGAGAAGCTTTTACTTCATTTTAACATAACTTTGATTGCTCTGTGATGTTATAGTGCCATCATTTAGTCCAATTTCTGCCATTAGAATTGAAGCTGTAGGGAAAATATGTGCAATTTCAATGAAAGTTCAGGAGCTACGCAGAAATCAGTTTAACAAATCAAAAAGCAAATAATTTAGGAAAGTTAACAAAATTTCTTTAGTAATCCAGACTGTAAAAGTACTTGAGGCTAGAAAAACATAGTCAATATATGAAGTATTGTTAAAGATTCTAATCTCTATTTTATTTCAGATGGTTCATTTAGAGCCATCACTGCGTCATACACGTATTTAGACCGCACACCGTCTGGACCCTGATTCCACGTCCTCCAACCTCGGGAGTACAATCCGACTTTCCATGCAGATCCCGCGCAGCAAAGAAACATGTTCCTGAGCAGACACCAGCAGTGCCTGACAATTACATTACACACTATAAATGTATGTGTGGCTTGAGATTCTAGATATTTGTCAGTTTCTAGTGTGTTCCATTAAGATAAATCAGGCTCCAGAATCTGAACATCACTGGTTAAAGAATAAATTGACTTTCTAGTCAAATCCTGGACCCTACCTAAGTACAAGCACCCATCAAGGTACTCCTTATAATCTTATTCCTGAATAATTTCTCTTCATCTACAAGGCATATTTAAAATACTCAATTACCAATCATAGTCAGGGTATACAGCATGAGAGTCATTCATACCTATCGATGGCTCTGAATTGGTATTTGAGCATTTCTAACTTTGGCGGTTTTATCTTTTTGTTTTCGTCTGAGGGGTCCTCAGGCAGCAGAGAAGCATGTGTGGGTATGTAAGTATTCACATATTCAGATATTTATTTAAATAGTCTTATTGTACCACAGTGCCAGGCACTAGAGCAGCTCTGGAGAGGGGGGAGCAGCAGTAAAAAGGCAGGCATGGCCTGATGCTGGGAACTCAGTCTACAGGGCTAACAAGCACTAGACACTAAATCATACAATTCATCATTCATTGCAAAGGTGAAAAGTACCAACAGCCAAATGCATCTTCTTTGGGGAGTCACAGAAAGTTTCTCAGGAGAAGTGAGGTTTAGCTGAGATCTGAGAGAGAGTAGGATTTAACCAAATTAGGAATTGAAATGACCAGCATGGCTTGCATAGGGGATAAGTAGGAAATGGACCCCGAAAAGGCAGGTACCAGATTGTGGTGAGCCCTGGTGTGCTGAACAGAGGAATCCAGTGTTCATCCTAAGAGCCACTGAAGAGCCGCTGCCAGGAGGATAAAGACACTTTTCATTTCCAGTTAAAAATTATTGCTCTGACTGACTAGGTGCAGTGGCTTATGCCTATAATCCTATCCCTTTGGGAGGCAGAGGCAGGTGGATTGCTTGAACCTACGAATTTGAGACAAGCCTTGGTAACATGGCAAAACTCTGTTTCTACAAAAAACACAAAAAAATTAGCCAGGCGTGGTGGTGCACACCTGCAGTTCCAGCTATGTAGGAGGCTGAGGAGGGAGGATCCCCTGAGCCTAAGAGTTCCAGGCTGAAGTGAGCTGTGATATCACCATTCCAGCCTGGGCAATAGAGTGAGACCTTATCTCAAATATATGTGTGTGTGTATATGCGTGTGTGTGTGTGTGTGTGTGTGTGTGTGTATAAATATATATATAGCTCTGACTGCTTTGTGGAGGATCAACTGGAGAAGGCAAAGGGTAGAGAAAGGAAAACAGGAGGCAGAAATTCTGACAAGAGGTGATGGTGACTCATGCAAGGCCAATGGCAGTGTCTATAGATAGACAGATTGGGGGGAAAGAATTGCCAGGACTTGGTAATTGGCTATGGGGGAGATGCAGAGGCAGGCGGTAAGCCTGACCCCCAGGGGCATGTCTTGAATATCTGAGTGGAAGGTAGAACTAGTCACTGGTACGGGACTGAATGAGTTATGAGGGGTGGCACAGACATAACATATTTTTTTTCTTAAGATTTTTTTCCCTTTCTATGCTCACACTCTTGTTCTGAGAATGACCATGGAAAGGGATACTCATAGGCATAAGCGGCAGTGATTTGTGCCCCTGAACTTGAATGGGAAATAGTACTCAATAATGGTTGTCAATCAGATTCTGGGAAAGATGTGCCTTTAGTTTCAAAGAAGTAATTTATACACTAAGGCTAAAAAATAAATTATAAATTGTTAATCTACCTAAATCCCAATAATAAAAGTTAGGAATGCCAAATCCATTTTAAAAACATAACTTCAACCTAATTGTCCATCAATGGATGACTAGATAAAGAAAATGTGGTATATATTGACAATGGAATACTATTCAACCATAAAAAAGAATGAAATCATGTCTTCTGCAGCAATATGGATGGAACTGGAGGCCATTATCCTGAGTAAAACAAGTCAGGCGCAGAAAGACAAATATCACATGTTCTCACTTATATGTGGAAGATAAATAATGCAGACGCACAGATGCAGAGTGTGTAGTGCTAGACAATGGACACTGGAAAGGGAGAGGGGGTGGGTGATGAGAAATTATTAATGAGTACAATATATGTTATTTGGGTGATGGATAGCCTAAAAGCTCTGAGTTTACCACTATGCAGTCTATGTATATAACAA